GGCTGAATTTGAAATCTTTGAGTTATATCTGGACGGGGAACATAACCTCAAAATTTCAGCTTTCTACCTTTTCTCATTCCCGAATTATCAATTTTCCCGCCAAAACTTTCCTCCTCTCGTACGCGAGGTCCAGACGCGCGTGAGAGATGTTACCGCGGTTCTGGGATGGTACTTGGGCGAGGTGCTCATCAGCAAAATCTCTGCGCTGGGACTTGCTTGGTTGTCGAGTTGAAATACCTGGACAGACGAACACACACACACACAAGCATGCACACACACACACACACACATACGTGCAGACACAGACAGGGTCGTCCCAGTATGCGTTCCTGCAATTTGCATATAGGCAAAAATGCATAAAAACTGCCTGCATCGCGACTGCTGTCAGTGAGAAGTACGGTCAAATTCTGTTTTTGCTGGAGCATTCACTTACACCCATTTTGCATCTATCCCTTGTGGTACCACAACAACTGATCGCAAGAAAGGCAGGATCATTGAGGAGTTTGATGACAGCCGCACTCCGCTTCATAAACTCATATTTTCATGTACTTTCTTCGAAGAGTTTCACTTCAAGAGCGATTTGACGTGCAGCTAGATAAGAAGTAACTGACCTCCACCATTTTTTTGGCACAGATATGGAAATCGCCAGACGTTGCCCAGTCCGACGGCATAGGAAATGACACCCATGAAGAACTGCATTTTGTTATCCCAACCTTCGCGATCATCACCCTTGCTCTCACTGCTATCGTTCAGTGACACTTGATGATACTTCTTTTCCAGCACTAGTCCGTCCGCTTCATTAGGACTGGAAGAATAAATTTTTTTATGAATCATTGTGAGGAAGATTAACAAATAGATAGAAATTAAGCTTGATTATTTCAGTTGAATCATTGAATCTAGTCTACTCTAATTTTTCTGGCTAACATTACAGAATTAAGCACTTTTTACACATCGAAAAAAGTGCTCTTGAGGCAGATAATATATTTTGCACCTTAAAAAGAGCATTTGAGTTTCTTTAAGTCTGAAATTAAAAAATGCTCATGAGCTTTTGCATAAATAATTCATCCAAAAAAAGAGCACTATGCTCAGAACATGTCGATATGTACGTCTAGGTCTGTTTTTATAATGCAACCCCAAGACTACAAAAACCGTGAAGCTAAAATTTCGAGAATGTTATTCACAACCAATTCATGCAGCTTTCAGTGTCCTAACCTAAAACTTCCAATTCAGATTCACCTTTATTTTCTAATCAGAAAACAAAGTAAGCACACTTATTTTAAGGGATCAGTTCACCAAATAAATAAGGATAAATGTTGCGAAAGCAAATCGCCAGCACCACTCAAATCCAGGTCCAATTTTAAGTCAATCTCATGCACTTAAGGTTGAGCAGACTAGAAATTATTTGAAATTAATGGGCAGAATGAAGCAAGCCATGAGTCTGAAAGTTTTTATTTATTTCATACGCTTAATCATGCCAAAAATCTATTACATACTAACATGCCCATTAACAAGGCACTAGCGAAGTTTACTGCAGAAGCACACAACGGTGCTAACCCAAAAAAATGCACGCTTCTATTTTTTCCAATTTTCGCTCTACATTTCCAATTTTACCTACCTGATTGATTCAGTTCATTAGTGAAATAGCTGCATAGTATGGTTCTAAATTTTCATTTGTGAATAAAGTAGCTCAGTTGTTCTTTGATAAAATGCACTGGTTTTTCCGAAGTTCATTGAGTTTCAAGCTAAATCAGTATGCCATGTTTCTTAATTTGTTGGCGCGCAGGAAATTGTTGTACAAAATCTTCCATTTTAAAATAAACTACCTTTGTTCAAATAAGACGGATCCAGCGTTGAATGTAACTTTAGAACCAAACTGTGGTCCGCTTGCAACCTTTTCAGACGTTTTTCGGCCATCGTCTGGTCCCGAAGGTACTCGGAGGAAATCGTTTTTTGTACGATTCATTGCTCAAACCGCTGAAGTTTCTTGAACTGCTTTTTACTTCTTGAGTGATTTTTGCAATCGTTTTTGGTGTAATTTATGGCTGCAAATACAAACAACTGTTCAATAAAATCTGTTTTTTAGCCAAACCTGTGTTTCAAAACGAACTACGCGAATATATATTAATGAATATACATTCATAAATCACATTATGCTATTTCTTAGCGTGCGAATGGTTCCTAGACGTAACAAGATACCACTCAGTGCCCACAGCATAAATCAGTTCTCAGCAAAGTAAAATGTTTTGTCTCGCCGATCCGTTTTACTTTATCTCCAGATGGAAATATGTGCAGCACGTCATTGATTGACGAAATGAATTTTCTTTAATTTCACAAGCAGCACTTCCTCTGTTTTTTCTCCAGTCCATAAATTTCCTTCGCTTTTAATAATTTATTATGAGCTGTGTATAAATAGCTAAGCAAATGAATAAGTATGTACACATTCGTAAATATACATAAGACACAGGTTAAAGAGATTATACATATTTGCAATAGGCTGTATGTATCTATGCATATACTTATATGTATATATACATGGATTTTTTTCACTTTTTAACATACATAACTGTAAACATGCTGGCATAGCGATAACAAACATTTCACAGAAAGAAACATTTATTTTAGAGTTTTCGCTATATTCTTGAAATAAGATTTGCAATTTTTGTCTGAAAATGAAATTCCTGTATACACAAGTTTACATGGTAATTTAAAGTTAGACGAAGTTTGGCAGTACAGGAAATCGCTGTCAGCACACGTCACTCGAAAAATATTATAACTTTGATTCACACACTCTATGCGTTTGAATTCGTCATCATAATTCTGAAAAAAAACAAAACAAGGAAACGCGGACACCCTGTTTTGCTTTTCTTCAGGCTAGGCAGCACTTTCTTGCTACAGCACATTGTGTCACCTTTATAAATTTGTTAGAAGCCACTAGAAGAGCATACAGTGGAAGCAACTAAACTGTGCTTCCGTTCGGTCGTTCATTTTCGCTTAGTCGAAATTAGATGGCATTAAATTGTCATGGCAAAAACGTTTATGCATCCTGCTCTAGTGCATTGTTTTTGTATATTTTTTGCACTTATGCAGTGCAAAAAAATTCATATTTTAGAAGAATTAAGTAAATGTCCATGCACATACGTATGTGTGTCATGAGTCTGCAAACTTCGGCCTCCAAACCTATGATACCTATGAAGTTAAAATTTTAGCAATTTGGTGTATCACTATGGTTGGGTCCATAGCAGCAAAATGGACCTCCTCTTGGTTTTAGAGTATGGACAACGTAAATGATATTTTCGTGGGAGAACGATTTCGAGGACCAAATAAGTCAGAAGGTTGAAAATTGCGAGGTTGTTTCTTGCCTATTTGCGAACCAAAGAATTTAAATTCAGCCTTCAGCACCCTTAGGTCTCAGTTGTATACACGTTAAAGTTTAAACTGACACCTCAACAGGAGAATTAGACTGATTAGAAAGTTGTAGAAAACTGTAATTTTACGATGCTGTTTGCCGTCCACTCGTATGCTCGTGAACATAAATTGTACTTCTGGCCCCACTATATCTCACATACCGGCACGTGAAATTTGACACAAATAATTTTGTAACTCCGGAACATTTCTGAGCACAGCCTACGGCCGTGTTTGGACGGGTGCATTTGAAAACAATTTCCATTTTTATGCGTTTTTGCATAATATGCAAAAACAAATATTGTGACGGCCCCGGTGTGTGTGTCTGTCCGCGTGTTTCAACTCGACACCCAAGCAAGCTCCGTCGCCAAAATTTTGCGAGTGGATTCCCCGGCCAAGTGCCACCCCAGGACCGTGGTACAACCCTCAGGCACGTCTAGGCCCCGCGTACGAGCGCCTCAAAGTTTTGGCGGGAAAATCGCTAAC